CCGAAAGAGATGAGACTGTGCACGCTCTTTATTTTGCTGGATGAAACTTCCCGGGAATTTTGATGCCTTTGCCCCTTGCACTAGCTGGCAGGTGAACGGGCCTGATGGGAGGTGGGCGACCAAAATGAGTGTAGGACCCAACACCTTTAACATTTCAGTTTAGTCAACCAGTTCTTACTTCTGCTCTGGTGTAGCGAGGACCCCTTCACCTCCCTCCCCCGGCCCCACCTACAACACTTCAGGCCTTCCGTAGGCCAGAATTAAACCGTTTTTCTACAGCGTCCTGCCTCATTACGGCTAAAGGGTGGACTTGGGCTACTGAGGCGCAATATTGAAGTGTGTCTTAGCGAACTTGGGGATTAACCAGTAGCTACCTCGAAAAGTTAATGCCATCTGAAGTTAAAAACCCTCCCTCACGATAGCAGCATTCTTCTCTGTGAATGAAACGCACAATTGCTATTTAAATCCCGACAGAAATTGAAGAAAGCGTCCCTAATTTGCGACGTGGTGTTCATAAGCTGGGTTTCAAACCTGCCAACGCTGATAATTGTTTGAAGTCGCCATTGAAACTCCAAGCACTGGAAAACCGCAACTACTACCAGATCAGACATCATCCCAGGTCCGCTTCATTGTTTCGAGGTCAACCAGTTCGTCTGCAGGTAGTAGATTGGTAAGATTACCGCTATCATGTCACATTTGTACCCCATGCTGACAACCAACTCCGCGTCGGTACTTACTACTCATACAAATGAGTAGCATCTTAAGGGTAGATGTTTTGCAGGAACGCTACTTCGAACACATGAGGAAAATTACTAACGTTTGGAATTCTCTCCATCTCGGATGACTGAACAGGATACTCTTCACCGTGAACCTTACCCCGGCAGAGACCCGGTCACATGCCACGATATCATTCACGGTCTTCAACTCACGGTGTACCCAAACGTTCGAGCCTGAGAGGCCTTCTTGCTACGTAGAAGCAGGTCTTGACGAATCACTTGTAGGCTCGCGAAAAAAAAAAACCTCCCAGATTTACTCACTTTTAATGAATACAATTTGCAATGACGCGTTAGAGGCGCTGCTTCTCAAACGTCGACTTTCGAAGCAGTAAACCTAGCCGACGACAAGTTGACCCGCACCAGAACAGTAAAGCTCAAAAAAGCATGAACACATCTTTTCAAGGACACTTCGCAAATCTCAAGGATTCAATGTACTTTCCAACTTTATTTGCAGCTAAAAAACCTAGATTATTCCAGCGGTGATAAAGTTTTCTACACGGGTTGTTCCAGAATCGCCTTGTAAAAACGCAGTTTTCGCAGAATCGACATGTCGATATACTTGTCTCCAATGCTAACCACCATACCACCAATGAGCTCTGGATCCACCTGTAAAGACGAGGGCACAAATTAGTACCAGTCTACTGGTGTGGGATGGAAATAGACTACGAGTACCCACCTTAAGCGAGAGGTGTAGTTTCTGACCAGCTTCAAGGAATTTTTCTAAAGCACCGGTCAACTCACGTTCCGTGGCACGATCCAAGGGTTTAGCGGTGGTCACAACACAGGAAACCTCACCACGATGGGAAACCATAATCTGTTCGAAAGTGGTCAGGACCTTTGAAAGTATGTCAAGGCGGCCGTTTTGTGCCAAAAGTTCTGCAAAAAATCAGGTGAGGAGGGACTAACTCACGAAGCATGTTGAAGGCTTGACTGGACAGACCAAGTTTATTCAGAACGTTGGAGAAAGCTTGGACCTTGACATGCCGTTTAATGGTTGGATCGTGACAAAAGTGACTCAACTTGGCATCGGTAGCGAGAGTGTTTTTGAGTTTGAGAAGGTCTTTCTCAACGATTTCAAGGTTCTTTGACTTGATAGCTGCAGAGTAGAGGGCGGTGGCATAGCGGCCGTCAACACCGAAATACTGAGTTGGGGGCTATAGAGAGACAAAGTGAGAGTACCACGAAGAGACGCGTAGCAGGACTTTCATAAACTTACACGAATAATGGCGCGAGAGGCGACGGAGGTAGAAAGGCTACGAATCTAAAAGAATTAACAAGACGAGAGGCTTTAAGACCAAAATATTCAGGAAATATTTGAGGAAAGAGTCACTGAGTCGATTCACCTCTACCAAGGAGTTTGAAATGTTGCACAAATTATCAAAATTTGCTTGTAAAAATTACATATATTATCAAACGTTGTTTATTGGACCAATATTGATAAATCTAGGTAACTTATATACTTTGCGTGGTGATACTTTTGTAAAAAGTAGAACATTTGAAGCGATTAGACCATTAATAACACATTGTCCCTTTCCCGTGTGGACTGTGAAAACGAACGTCAACAAGATAAAACACAATAGCTATGTCCTTAACAATGAGATGCCTGATCAGAATACACAAATCAAAACGGTAGGACTGGAAAGTTTACTATAATTTACCAGATTAAAGGATGCCATCAGGAACGGCTAGATGGGCGGACATGCAACGAAAGTCGATTCTCATTGGGAAAGGGAACTCTGTCAAATCATCACGTCTCCTTGATCAAGTAAGACTGCTCATTGCTTTCTACCAATTTTTTTTGAAGCAAATGAATAAGGCTAATGTAACTTTTATATTGTTTTACTGCACCTTTTCGGGAGAAGGCAAGGTTACAATTTGAATTTGGTGACAGAGTTGTCGTCTCCCAAGCCTGAGTGCGATTGA